CTTATATAGCTCCTGTTCCTCTTCCCTCCTTTGTGCTATTATTGTCATGCGAATTACATTTTAATACTTTGTATGCTCATCAATACAGATTTATAATTATTGCATTATGCAGTTGCCTTTTAATTTTGAAAGACAAAAGGAGTTTTAAATAATATTTACTAATCATGGGACCTTAAGCAAGTTATTTTATCTTTCTAAATCTTAGGCTTCTTCATCTGCAGTGTAGAAATCATGGTATTATCTACTTCATATGGTTGTTATGAGGATTAAATGATATAATGTATGTAAAGCATTTGGAACAGTGCCTAGCACATATTAAGTGCTTAATAAATGGTAGTTGTGGTTATTAGCTACTATTTTCTTCTACTATCATGCCTTTGCTCAAGCTGTTACATCTATTTGTAATCCCTTTGTTCCAATTTTTCAGTGCCAACTTTCTATTCATTCTTTAATTCTCAGCTCAGATACCACTACTTTCATGTTTTGAAATTGTACAATGTCTATTTCCATTATTACAACACTTACTACAGTATTCCTTAGATTGCAGTTATTTGTGATATGTCTTATCTCTCATTCTACATTCTAAGACTCATGAGGGTGAGTATTATGTCATTAATTTCTGTAACTTTCACAGTGTGTAACCTAGTGCTTTATATGAAGTTAGTGCTCAGTAAATGACTAAATCATATGAATAATTAAAAATGCAAAACAGATTCAGTTTCCTGGTTCTGTTAGTAGAACTGAACGCAGTTTAAAAGCGATACACCAGGCATGATACAAAGAACATACATCGTGGTTTAGGGACTCTCTTAGGCAGATGAGAGAGAGAATCATAAGGTACTGGGATTCTTATTTCTTAGAATGTGGTAGGTTGAAAGAGAATTTCAGTGCCTCATGGTAAATAAATGGACAATGTAAAAATGGATTTGAATTTAGATGGAGAAGCAATTAAACTAATGAACATAAATGCTCCCCAGAAGAAATTGAAGAAAGCAGGATTATTAAATGCTGTACTTTTCCTGCATGTAATCCCAAAAGTGGTAGATAGGAAAGGCAAGAGTCAGTATAAGTTGATGAGCATGTACTCAAACTTTAAAATTAGAAGAAGAAAGTTTGAATTCCAGCGTTTAGTATTAGATAAGTGACTTTGGGGAAGTCCTATAACCTTTCTGATTGTCCATTTCCTTGCCTGTAATGCTTGTTTTACAGAGTCGTTTAGAGAAGTAAATGAACTAATGGGTTGTGAAATTGTTTTGTGAGCTACAAAGCATTTTTGGTCACTCTTTTCCTCTGTTTTCCTACTGTTCTGTTTATCATCTGCTATAGCATTTCCTATGTTGTAATTTATTTGTTTATCTCTGTCCCCTACTAGACTGAGCTTTTTCAGAGCAAGGATTTTTGTTTTATTTATCTTGGAACACCAGGGCCTAACACATAGGTACTCAATAAATGTTTGATGAATGTGTAAATAAATGTTTTGAATAGGAGATGGACCCAAGTGACCTCTTAAGTTTCCTTTTAGTTTTGCTGTTTAAGACTCCATGAAAAGTTCTAGAAATAATTAGAGATTGACAAAGGAAGAAATATTTAGAATATAAAAACATGAAATTGAAGGACAGTTATAGAATTGTTAAAGACATATTAACATTCTGGAACGTACTTTCAAAAGGGAAATTGTTGAGATGGGTTAATTGAGTTTATGTATAAAAAGGGAGGTTATGTTTTGTCAAGTGAGAAGTAATTCTTCTGGCCATGGAATGATAACAGCTGAAATGAATCTCTCATAAGCTAGTAAATATGGCAGAGGAATATTGTGGCTAAACAAATTCATTAGAGGAGAAAGGTATTAAAAAACATTTTAAGGAGTATGGTTAAATCATGGGGAACTAGACTCCCTTATTGAGATGCTAGAAACATGAGACAATGTGGAGATTTTGTGGTTGTATTTGTTGTTTGAAAGGACTTGAAACTACATCTCCTGCTGGAGCAAAATATGAGCCTTTAAAGACCAGAATGGATATGCGTCCTGCAAAAGATGTCAATACACAGAAGAGACGGTAAACATAAGGGGAAAAGGTGAAGTAGAAATAGTAAAATAAGGAGGAGGATATAGCTCAAGTGGTAGAGCACATGCTTAGCATGCATGAGGTCCTGGGTTCAATCCCCAGCACCTCCTCTAAAAAATAAAATATAACCTAAATAATACAATAATATTAAAAGAAGAAATAGTAAAATGAAAGAACAAATCACTGAAGCTGATTTAGAAAGGACCAAATCACTTATTGTGAGAGGTGAGAAGTGAGAAATGAGAAAGCATCCGAAACAGTGATCCTACATAAAAAATTGGAAAAAAGCAAGAAACTGAAAATAGGTGGTAAATATGAAGGCGGCTTTAAGATCCCAGAATTGGAATGGCCCTTGAGAGAATTTACAGCTAAAGAACTAAACAAGAGATCCTCTAAACAGTAGACCTTAAAGCCTAACCTGGTGCATCATGAAATGGTTGTTACCACAGTCCCTGTCTCTGATCTTACACAAAAATGTTCAGGCGAGGAGAAGAGAGATGGGATTGGTCGGGTTGGTTCCTACCTTATTTCAGCACAATGGAATGGAGGAAGCTTGCTCTTAAAAACCATCACACACATCTGAATAAGAATCCCAGCTCTACCTCTTATCAGCTGTTCAATCTTGAGCAAATTATTTAATATCCCTAAAAGACATTCAGAAAGAACTCTATTCATGTAGCTTCTGTTTTTCCTATACCTGGGTTGATCACCTAATTTTCCTTTTATTTTTTTGCCTGTTCTTCATTTCTTGTTTTTTTGTTTTCAAACACTGCGTTCTAAGACATTTCATCAGCTTTATCTTCCAATACTTTTATTGAGGTTTAAATTCCCCTTGTATTGTTAATTCCAAAGAGCTCTTTTATTTTCTCAAAAGTCCTTCAAAATGTCCTTTTCTTGTCTTGTGGTCACAATATCTTCTCTAATTTCTCTGAGGATCATAGATTTTCTTTGGTAAAGTTTTCTTCTGAGATTCAGGGATCTTTTCTAAGGGATTAGCACCCCCCCCCATCCACTGGGGTTGGGAAGGGGAGCTGTTTGGCTCTGCAGAGTTGGGGAAGGAATCTGCAGGTCTAGTAGCGTCTTAGGCTGACTTTTCACCAGTCCTCCTGGTTTTAGGCCCTCCTTTACCTCTATGCACAGAGGCACATGGCACTACAAATTCCTGAGCCTTTCGGGGGCTCTGTGGTATAAATTGAGCTGCCTTTCAGCTTTCCCTAACTACTAACTTTTCCCTTTCTACTAACTTGGTTACTATTTGGCTGTCTGCTAACTGGTTTCCAAAATTTGCTACTAATGTCTTCTTTCCTGTATCCCTCATCCTTGTGTATTTATGCCTTTTAAAAATTATTTTACTATAATTTTATCAGGGTTTTGAGGAGGAAGCAAAGCTAAATGTGTGAGTTCAATTTGCCATCTTTAACCCAAAGTCTTTTTTATATTAGAGTATAGTTGATTTACAATGTTGTGTCAATTTCTGGTGTACAGCATAGT